TGGGTGTGATGTTGGCTCGCTGCAACCTCCGCCTCCTGGGTTCAAGTGATTCTTGTGCCTCAGCCACCTGAATAGCTGGGATTACAGGAGTGCACCACCATACCCAGCTAATTTTTGTATTTTCAGTAGAGAAGGGGTTTCTCCTTGTTTTGCTGGTCTTGAATTCCTGGCTTCATGTGATCTACCTACCTCAGACTTCCACAGTGCTGGGATTACTGGCATGAGTCACTGTGCCTGGCCCCTTCTGACTTTTCTAAGTTAGAAGTATCTGTTCCTCATTTAAGGCACTTACTCCTTTTTTGCCTCATATTCTGGTTATTTTCTTACTGATTTCCTGCACTATACTGGACTTTAGATTGTGTCTTTTTCACCGTTAGCTCTCTCTGCAATGCACAGGTGCTAGCAGGATCTTTTTATTAAATGTTCCTAACCTCTCTCTTTTAAGTCAGAGATCAGCAAACTATGGGCCTCAAATCAAATGAAGCTATCTGCCTGTTTTTTCAAATAAAGTTTTATTGGACCACAGCTATGCTCATCATTTCTGTATTGCCTGTGGCTGCTTTTGATCTAAAACAGCATGGCTGAGTAGTTGGGACAAATCTTATAGCCTGCAAAGCTGAAAATATTCACTATCTGGCCCTTTGCAGAAAAGGCTTATCAACCCTTGTTCATTTTTAGTAAGAAATTTGTCCTTGGACTGTATCCATTAAACCACTCACTGCCTTTCCTCTTGCCTTATGAAATCTGTAAGCATTATAATTATGAAGTATTTTGAGAAAGATTCATCATAAAATAGAATCTCATTTGGGGAAGTGTCAGGTATCAGTTTAAAGGTACTGCAGTAAGCTCATGTAGAACCAAAGAAGTGTCTAGACCCTTGTCAGAAACAGTTGTCATTGAAAAACGATAACCTGGCATTGCAGATTTGTAGATAATTTCTCAGAGCTTGGTTAATGTGAATCTGCCACATGGAGAGCCAGTTATGTACCACCCCAGCTGGGATTAGTCTCTTCTTCCTTAATGCTCCCAGAATCCTGCATTCTCTGTCACAGCATTCATTTCAATTGGCCTTGTATTAATTTTTTAACCAGTGTGTCTCAAGATAGGATTATAAACACCCTGTGGTAAGGAACTCTTTTTCTCAATTCTGTTGCTTCCATAGAGTTTTTGCAAACTGGATATTGATGAATGATCACTGAATAAATGTCATTAATGCAAGCATGAAAAATAGATTTATAATAAGAGTGTGAAAACATGGGCAAAATCTCAGCAGACATTCTTCAAACTGAGCTTCATACATGTACATTTTCAATACTGTTTATTCTGCTTATGTCCCTATTTAACCTGCTCATATATATGTATAGAAAGGAAGTCATCTCAAGAATGCCTACTATACAATAGCACTTTGTTGTTTAAAAACAAAACAAAATAAAACAATTCTCAAGAAAAAGCAAATGCCTTGTTTCTAGAAAAAGAAAATTCCTTGTCTGAGATCAAGTGGTTTTCTCAGGAAATTAACATTATTGTGAACCAGAAAATCCCGCTGGACCCATTTCCTTAACTATTCCCTTTATAGTAAAACTTCAGCAGGTAGTAAACCCTATTTAGCCATCTGAGTGACAGATGAGCCGACAGACCTGTGGGTTTCACCTATGTGAAATAACCCTTATAATCAGGCCCAGTGGAGTCTAACTAGGAAAGCAAAACCTTCCTATGGTACTTGATTTGCCTTTGTAGAAAGTAGAGCTCTTGGTTGCAAAGTGACAGAAACACAGTTTGCATTAGCCTAAAGAAATGGAGTAGGGTGTGGGGGTTGCTGGTTCAGAAAAATCCAAGAAGGTTAGTAACCAAATGATGGGGAAAATTGGAATCCAGCTGGGCCTCATGGAACTATGGGAACCAAGAACTGGACGGCTGCCAGAGCTCTCCTCTTCTCCATTTGGAATCTCTGCCTCTTACTATGTGCTGCTCTCATTCTTGTTCATTGTAGATCAACTTTCTCTACTAGCAAGGAAACCTACCCATATACAACTTCCGTTTTCTCCCTTTTTTATCTTACATCTTTACGCTTTAAGAGGTACAGTCACTCTTCATTTTAATCAGAAAAATCCCAGAGAAAAACTTTGAGTCCCAGTTGAGTCAAACCCAACAGGAGATGTGGTCATATAAGAAAATGACAGCCTCTAACATAGATGTGGGCATAAAGAGGAGGGAGAAATGGAAGAGGAGTGACAGTTCCTAAGAGAAGGGGGCTGGAAGGGCATTGAGTTGACAATTCTGTAGATGTTCTCTTCTTCTTTTTCAGGGTATGGGCTATCCTATTTACAAACAAATTCTTAAGCTTTTGGAAAGAAAGAGGGCTAATGAAGAGCCATACAGGTGCCTCTCAGCCAAAGGGATGAAGAGGTAAATGTTCACACTTGTTTGAAGTACAGTCAGTGAGTGGCCAAAGGCTTCCCATCAGAAAGGACTGAGAGAAACTCACAAGCACCTAAAATGTGAAACACCTAAAATGGACCTTCCCGGTAAATACTGTGAGAGGGCTGGTCTATTTTCCTAATGCAAAAGGCTAAAACTCTGGGCTGCCTTATGGTTCCTCCAAGTCCTGCCCCAGGACTGCTGCCAGCCCATACAGGACTTTTGTGCAAATTAGTAAGTCATGCCCTCCTTGAGGCAGACCCCCCACTCACTATGATGCCGAGACTCCTGTGTTGAGCACTGAATTTCAGCCTCTGTCTGCCCCTCAGACAGGCATCTTTGTGCAGGGCCCAAGCTGCACAAGCATCTGGGGCAGCCCTAGGCCTACCAAGAAGGAGATAGGATAGGCAGGCTGCCCCTTCTCCAAAAGCAAGGACTTACAATATCAGTGTACATGAGACTTGGTGGTAGGCTGGGCATGGTGATTGAAGAGAGTAGCACGAACAGCAATAATGGCAGAATTCAAAGGACTCTAGGGATGGGTAACCTACCTCTGGGTACTGGAGCAATAGAGGTTCTGTGGGTGGAGAGACCAGCAGCAAACTCCACCGGCAGAGCACCAGCAGAAGCAGCACTAGTGTCACTGAGGTTCTTAGAATGATACGAGGAACAATAGTGATGGTTAAGTCTCTCCGATTAAAAATAACATTTTTTCTTGCTCAAGAATTTATGTAACAGAATGTCTTGATAGAGATTAAACTTTTTTGTTTCCTTTCTTTTAACCTTTGAAACCTAAATATAACTCACTTTTGAAGGGTATGATTGAATAAAGATTTAAGGAAGCTGTCCCTAGAAAAAATAATGTGAGGATTTAGAAGTTTGTATTCAAACTTGCTGATTAGCCACTCTTAGAAGAGAAGCCACAGCCCCAATGTGTTAAAAGAGGGAAGAATCAGTGTATTTAGGGTGAGTGCCCAAAAGAAAGGCAATGGCTCCTTAACGTAGTAACAGGGAGGGAAATGATCAAGATCGAGAGCAGGGTCTGGGTGGGAGGGACACTAGAATCTGGGCGTCCCTTCTGATTCCAGCTGGAGATCAATGTTCACCCAGGCAGGTTTTGAAGATGCGAGCAGGGGATAGGCTGCTGCAAGTGGAGATCATGGCAGCACCTAAAGCAATGGCCAGAATGGAGGAGCCCTCATCCCAGTGCTGCAGTCCAGGGAGTAAATGCCCAGGCAGTATGCCACTTTGCTTTTAAATACCCATTTATTTTTGTGCTTTGAAGGAGCCGCCCATGAATGTTCTAGTCACTGTGTGAGTCAGTCTTGTTCCCCAAGTGCTGCTGCAATGCTGCAGCCATCCTACCCTCCCCCACTGCTTCCTGGGCCTCCCATATGGGAACCAAGAACTGGATGGCTGCCAGGGCTCTCTTTTTCTCCATTTGGAATCTCTGCCTCTTTCTATGTGCTACTCCCATTCTTGTTCATTGTAGATAATCTTCTCTACCCGAAAGGAAACCTAACCATAACACAACTTCCTTTTTCCTCCTTTTTTATCTTACAGCTTTACTCTTTGAGAGGGACAGTCACACTTTATTTTAATTAGAAAAATCCCGGGAAAAACTTTGAGTCCCAGCTGAGTCAAACCCAACAGGAGATGTGGTCACATAAGAAAATGACAGCCTCTAACACAGATGTGGGTGTAATGAGGAGGGAGACACCATCTGAGACACTGCTCAATTCCCCTGGCTGCTGTTGAGCTAGGAACTGGGCTGGGGCTCACACTCTGACATAGGTAGAGGCCCAGGATTGCACAGGGTTGGAGAATGGAAGAGACGTAGGCATTTGAGTATGTGATAAAAAGTGGCATTCAAATCCCTGAAGAAAAGGAGGGAGCTTTCAAAAATATTGGGAAGATAGGATAGTAACTAGCAAGAAAATATTAAATGCTTACCTCATTGTACCAAATAAATTAAGACAGGCCAAAGATTTACATGTAAACACTTTTAAACACAAAAGTAAAATAATATAGGGAAAAATAATGATAAATAATGTTGAGTACAATTGAAAACTTCTGTGTGGCAAAAAAAATTATACACAAAGTTGAAAGACCAATGACAAACTGAGGAAAATATTAACAATACTGTCCAAAGGTAAAGGGCTAATATCTGCACAATAATAAAAGAGCTTATATAAACCAAGAAAAATTAAAAATCTAATAGAGAAAAATGGGTAGAAGTCACAAACAGATAAATTACAAATGGAAATGGTCAACAAACATATGGAAAAATGAAAAATGTTCAATTCACTAATATTCAGAAGGCAAATTAAAAAAATAACAAAATGATTTTCACCTATCAGACTAGCAAAGACCTCTAAAAATTGATCAGACTCACACATTGATATGGTTAAGAGAAATACACATTTTGTGCTTTTTCTGTGGGTATACAAAATGACACAACTTCTCAAAAGGGCTATCTGACAAAAAGTATCAAAACATTAGATGTACATACTCTTCACTGCAACAGTTCTTGTCAGACTTTATTCCAAAGAGATAATGCAAATTTGAAAAGATGTACTCACACTTTGTTTATACTTTTGAAAAACAGGAAACAACTTTAATGTTCTTCAGTAGGGGTTGGCTAAATAAATCGTGGTCCAAGCATCCATGGAACACTATGCAGCCCTTAAAAAGAGTGATAAAAATATATTAGGTTGGTGCAAAAGTAACTGCGGGTTTTAAAAACCCAGTATATTGATGCAGAGAGATGGCTTCAATTATCGATTCTTTACAGCCCATTTATTCAATTATGTCAACCATGATCTTTTCTCATCAGCAGAGTTTCTAATCATTCTACCATTATTATTAGTAGTAGTACTATTATTTGAGATGGGGTCTCACTCTGTCACTGACTGGTGTGATCTCAGCTCACTGCAGCCTTGACCTCCTGGGCTCAATTTATCCCACCACCTCATCCCCTCATACCACTGTACCTAGCTTAATTTTATTTATTTCTTTGTACAGACAAGGTCTCATTATGTTGCCCAGTCTGGTCTCGAACTCCTGGCCTCAAGTGATCCTCCTGCCTTGACCTCCCAAAGTGCTGGGATTACAGACATGAGCTACTGAGCCCAGCCTCTACCTTTATTAATTATAGACTTTGGCACCTGACATACAGTCTTTCAAACCACTATCATCCAGGGTGACTTAAATATCTGTGAAGACATGTCATCCCATTTCCAGTCCCTGAAAATTTTGAATGCTTCATTTTCAATAAAATACAGTAGTTTGATACTCTATAGTCACACACTCTCACGGCCACAGTACACACAAACTGCCTTATCTCTAAAATTAGTGAATCAGGTATACCCCTCTCTAATCACATTCTCTTATCCTCTCAACTGGCGTGCCTAACTGTCATAATACATTTGTTCTCTTTTTACTTCAGGTCCTCTAATCTACACCCCCATTCATCTTAGACTTAATGATCCACCATTTCAAACTTTCTCCTGACAGTATCTTAAGCACCTTTGCCTCATTATTCTCATTGCATCTGCAGCAAAAGCTCTTATCTTTTGTTTTTGTTTTTCATACCTAGGCTGCCAAGCACTGCTAGATGATCACATCTTGGTAGAAAAGTACGATGTTAGATTGATATTCACTAATTTCAACCTTTTCTTGGTGCAGTTCCACAAAGGCAGAGCCTGAGACAAGGATCTGAATGTGAGTGGTTTATTTGGAGATAAACCCAAGTAAAATAATTAAAAGGAGAGAGAAGAGAGAGGGAGAGGGAGTGGGAAATGGGACAGAGCGGGGGAAACTAACACAGGGTATGTTGATGAGCAGATTACTACTGTGGGCTCAGTTCCGTTGGAGACCTCCAAGACCCCACCTGTGAGTTGACCCCCATGTTTCTCTCTGTCATTGGTTGAGAACAGCTCTCAGTGGCCTAATTGCCTTTCATTCCAGGCTGCCTTGTGCACAAGTCACAAACTCCCAGCCAGAGAACACCCCCAGGCGATATTGTAGGTGCCTGCAATAGAAAGCTGTTAGTATGTTTGTATCAGAACCATCAGTGCCAAGGGGATTCAGTGGGGCAGCAACAGTACATGGTTGCAGCCCTCAATGTGTTCCAGTCTCCTTGATGTGTTACCCTAGTCACCTTCATCCCCCACCTCCCAACAACTATTTCAAAATTCCTCCTATCACTGCAAATCTCTGATGCTCTTGTCCCCTCACTCTCAGCAGATGACCTCATCTCCTAGTTCACAAGGAACACTGAAGATCTCAGAGTGGAACTTGGTAAGATTCTGCCACCAATTCTAACATCCCACCCACATCCATACCCATCACTTCTCCCTCCATATCTCTGCAATAGAGGATGCATCTCTCCACTATCTAAGGCCAAACTTCTCTGCCTGTTCTCAGTCCTGTCGCTTCCATCTGCTTGTCCACTGTTATCAGTTGATTGCCTCATCTCCCTCACGAGTCTTCAACATCTCTCTGGCCTCCTCTTTCCCATCTTAAAACAAACAACTCGTGCCCAATCTGCATCCCATTCCATCTATTATCCTGTCTCTCCCTTCCTCTTCACACCAGAGTTTATTGAAAGAGTATCTTACATGTGTGGTCTCCAGTCTCTCTCCTCTCATTCATTTCCAATCAGTCACAAATGACCTCCCTGTGGCAGAAGTCACAGGATACCAGTCCTTATCCCTCTTGCCCTCTCAGCGGCATTTGACTCTGGAGATTCATTTCTCCCCTGGGCTCCCATTGGAGCGTTTCTTTTGGTTTGTCTCCTTTCTTTGGCTCCTCCCATCTCAGTCTCTTTATTTATCTTTTCAAAGATGCTCTTCTCAGCTCTCCAGCCTTTCTTCACCAGTGGTCTTACCCACTTCCACACCAGTAATTATCATGCCAAGGCTGATGATTCTCAGATCAACAGAAATAGTCCAGACTTCTCCCCTGACTTGACCTAAATATGCACTTGCTTAATGCACACACTCTGTTCTGTCACTTTAACCAAGTCATTAAACTTCCCTTAACCTATGTTCTTGGGCAAAACATGGAAATGAGAGCAACTACTTCTTACATACTTTTGTAAATCTCTTCATTTTGAAATAATTCTAGTGTCACAGAAAGTTGCAGAGATAGTACAGAGAGGTCCCCTGTACCCTCATGTAGTTTCCCCCAATGGTTACCTTTTATCTAACTATCATATAATATTGAACCCAGAAAACTGACATTAAAATAATGCATGTAGTTCTATAAGTACAAATCAAACCCAGGACACTGACATTAAAACAATGTATGTCATTCTCTGATGTGTTATCAACTATAGATTCATGAAACCACCACTGTAATCAGGACACAGAAGTATTCCATCACTACAAAGATCTTCCTCATTTGCTTCTTTTAAAAAATGTTTACTTTAAAAAAAAACATCAGATCCTTGAAAGAAGGGACATACATACTATTTTTCCATGTGTTTCAGTGTCTAACATGGTGCCTTGCTCTTAGAAGGCGTTGCTAAACGTTTGGGAAAACAAGAATGGAATAAAAGGTGGCAAATTCCATGTGGGTCAAAAACATCAGCCTGGGAGCCAGGACAGACCATGAAATTTCTTAGCTCCACACCAGGAGCCAAGAGCCTGAGGACAGAGACTTCCTCCCTAGATTTACATCCTGTTGAATGAGATGTTGGCAGTCATAGGCTACAAGTCAGAGTGGAGAGGCTTACCTCACATTCATTCCAACAATCACAGTCCCTGTCTGTAGCAGAGAGGAAGGACTTTCTCAGTCCAGGACCTTTTTTGGGAATCTCTCACATCACACCATATGGCCAGTTCCCCATTCCACCTATCTGATGTCTCCCTGCTCTGCCTGACATTACCGGCACATTCCTATGCTTTCTGGCAGCACCCAGGAGATCATCCAAACCTCGGCTTTTCTACTCAGCCAGCATGTGGGACATTTGTCTCAAGGCTCAAGAAAAGTGTTTGGTCCTAGGGCATGATTTTAAAATTCTGCTTAATAGTAATTGCTCTTAATAGGTTATATTTGTTTGCTCAGAATTATCATAGTCAGTAAGTGAACTCTGAAACTCAGAAGAGAGGCAAAACATAGAACAAAACAGCTAAAAAACTACAAAGACAGCTACACGTTCAGGTTATAAGCCCCCATACAGAACATGTGTGTGTGTGCACCAACAAATTCTAATTACTGTTGGAATGAGAAATAAAGGAGTATTTATCCAGCAGTGAGCTGTGTTATTATATTATAATAGGCTTTAATAAGAGCAAAAGTCAGATTTGTGTTCCCTCAATATCATGGTTAAAGTCTCTGAAATCAGAAAACTTAGCTTAGAATCTTTGTGTCAGCAATGAGCAATTTGTGTTGTCTATTCTGTAAGTCTCAAAGAGCAATTATTTGATTTCCAAGCCTGAAGCTCATTTATCAGTTTTAGTTTATAAACTTTGTGGAGCAATTTGTGAGCTGATGTCAGGCTTTCAGCAGGGTGGTTTGGAAACAGTCCACATGGGGATTCATTTCATTTCCTTCTTTTTTTTTTTTTCTTTCCTTTTTTTAGACAGGGTCAATCTTTATCACCCAGGCTAAAATGTAATGATGCAATAACAACTCACTTCCACCTGGGAGGTCCAGGCTGACGTGATCCTCCAGCCTCAGCTTCAAGTAACTGGGACTATAGGCATGCAGCACCACACCCAGCTAATTATTTTATTTTATTTTTTATGTTTTTAGAGACAGGGTCTGTCTATGTTGCCAAGGCTGGTCTCAAACAGTCCTCCCACCTCAACCTCCCAAAGTGTTGAGATTACTGATGTGAGCCACTGTGCCTGGCTGGATTCATTTTCAGTGGTGGAAGTGAGAGGCATGGAAATAAGGCAAAACCTGGGCCCCTTGGTCTTAAGAAACTTGGAGATTTGGAAGTACAGTGTGTGTTGTATATTGAGTGGAGGGCCTGACTGATCTCATGTCAGAGTCTCTCTGATTTTAAAGCCCTACATTCACAGAGAGCACACACAGAATGGATGGGCATATATGGAAGTTCAGGGATCTTTGTTTTGTTCACTGGCATTTCCTCAGTGCTCAAAACAGTGCATGCTGGGTTTCATGACATTTTTTTTTTTTGACTAATTGTTCAATACGTAACAATGTGTGCAAAAGAGAAAGAACAAATCAATAGGTATTCTGTTGCCAACAAGCCCAGAGAGTCACACTCAGACTTAACCACAAAGCCTGTTGGATCACAGCAAAAAGAAAGAGGAGAGGGGAAAAACCAGGAGCCAGAAGAGTAAGGACTGAGGGTGAACTGAAGGAGCTCTGGAAACTCTCTGTGATCCAGGCCCAGCTTGGGTTTGGTTTAGACAGGTTGGTTCAATCTAACGTGTGGAACATATCAGTGGGAGTTCCAGCGATGGGCTAGAATCAAAGTCAGGTGGATGGAGAAATGGCCTGTCCCAGAAGAGCCCAGCCAGTGGCTGAAGGTATTAGAAAAGGACTTGGTTTTGTAGGGGAGGGACTTAGCAAGAACTAAGAACTTTTGAAAGGGCAAAAAAACTAGAGTGCAGAACTACGGAACTGATCAAAGCCCTGACTTACTGCATTAACATGGTAGTTACCTGGGGAAGGCTGTATCTGGCCAGTTTACATGGATGCCCAGG